ATGGCATTAAACATAAAATGGCATATAACACCCCATCTAAACTACAGCTGTGATTTGCAAGGTTTACAAAGTAGGCTACTTGCTTCATGCCCATATATACATGAAAAAAGTGCAATCAGGTTCACATCTTTATATTTACGCAAAGATCAAACCCATATCTACCTCCCAAAATGCCACTAAGGGATGGTTTCCAATGCCAAACAGCACCTGTTATCGATGACACCGGAATCCTTGATGGTCACCGCATCTGACTTTTCCTTTTGTGCAGTCCTCATGTTGAATGCGCTACACAACCTGAATACAATGACCAGATTTCTAATCCTTGTTTTTAATTTGTTATATTCACTGAGGCATACCCATATTTTGTTGTAAAAAATAGAAAGACTGCTGAAAAATTGAAAGACAAGAGTTGCAAAAATGAGAAATGCAATCTTTCATTCAAAAGCCAGAGACTGTTATGAACGGGACCCAGCACCAACACAGAGCCTCACTGAAGCGAACGCGAGAGCAAAGCTCTCCAGCGTGAATCCGCTTCCCGAGGAAGCACCGACGGCATCTGCCCGCCTTGCTGATATCCCACATCTTGTGATGCCACCACTGCACCGCATGCAAAAGCACTACCAATGGGACACACAGGTATGCACTTGGAGACTTGCAGCATGGAAAACCAAACAGCAGATCTAAACTCCTGGCTGTAGGACCTTTAGCATAATGACCTTAAGAAATTTTTACAATTAAAAAGAAAATCTCGTTTCTCTTAAGAGGAAAAGCTGATGGCTTCTCTCACTTCTTTTATGAATGGGCTGACCGCCTGACATTTGAAGATCATACATACCATCTTACCTGTCAGACTGGTGAATAATATTCTCCCACCTACTTTCACCATTCTCACTTTCCTAAAACAAATATGGGGTAATACATGCGAAAGCGGTATTAGATGGTACATACTGTAGTCACCCACACTAAGAAAAGGCTTAGTGCTTACAGGAAATGCAAATGTCCAATACCATACATGAGGCAATGATAACAAACTTGACCTGCTCACAGGATTACAGCTTCCAGATGCTATGCTTATGCTAAGGCGTTTACAGAAATAAGTGCTGATGTGAGATAAAG